ACACAAACTTTGTGATCGATTTAAATGGTTCTAAATTAGGAAATAGAAAAAATTATATCAAGAATACAAAATACCTCAAACGGTACAGTTTGGGCTATACAGTCAAAAGTTCCTCTAACACAAATTAGCGTGCTAAACAACAAAAGTAACAGTTAATGCAAAGGAGTTCAGTAACCGAGAACCAATAATAATCTATCTGCGGGGATTTCAGCAATCCTCCCAAGCAGACAGTCGATAGTAAACAGTCACACGCTGAACCACGCCGTGACTTCGAGCTTAGTCAAACACGGCCTTATCGTGAATAGTCCGACGACATGCAATAGAAAATTAGGTAACAAAGTGTAAGTCTTTAATCAAAACCACATAGTAAAAGCTCAGACGAGAAGGACTGAAGAACTTAAAGTGTGGTCAAAAGAGATCTGAATAAAGGTTAAAATACACGACGCGGAAAGGGAACAAATAAATGACAGAACAGTCCAACATACATGTCAAGAAGTGATTTCCGGCGATTTCTTTCCGTTGCATTTCTCCCGAATTTATCCCTTTCTGTCTAACTTGGATCTAATGGTTATCACTAATTCCGATAACCGGCAAGTCGTATATCCTCATTTACGTAACTATTTGACTGGCCCTCTCAGTCCTTCACATTTTCTAGACATTTGAAGTACCTATTTTAATTGTTGCTTTGGTTGTTAGGAGGGACATCGGGCTCATGACTTCCGATTAATCTCAGCTTTTTAGACGAGGCGTCATCATTCTTATTATTGAACTCCCAGGATGTAGTCTAAGTGGTTCAAATTGTTTTTTTTTGGTTAGCACTTTTACGCAAGCTTTTACCTGTATATATATATATATATATATATATATATATATATATATATATATATGAACATGTACTTCGTTACATAACATTCATAATAGAAGCTTTTTTGTATAGTTTTTCGTTTACATATGTTAAATGTACCGTTTTTTTGCACGACTTTCTTGTTTAAGTAAGAATAAGTGTATTTTGACATGCACTTATACTCTTATTTCTTTCTTTTTCAAGGCATCTAGAAAATTCGCAAAACCGAAGACAAATGTGAATAACCGAATCTTAAATTGTACATTTATTACAATAACTAGTTTTATGGGCTCTACGACTCATTAGAGTGGGAAAAAACAGTCAGACTATGATGAACGTAGCAAGCTAAAGCAATAGTGTTTATCAACGACAAGGTCATTAGGTATGAAATTTTGGCTGGTTACGTAATAGGGTCATCCCTATCCTACTATGGCGGAAGCGAGATGTGGTGGTACATTAATCCACCGAATAAGTAGTTCCATAAGTCTTCGGCATTGATGCTGACCTCACCAGTTTCAATGGACACACTCTAGCTAAGAGCACTCAGGAAAGCATCCTCTCCAGGTGATTTTTCGGTATGCCGTGTTACGTATCTCTAACATTATTAAACTAATTTAGATCACACACTTCTCGACATACCAACAGTCTTTCAAATATATCTTCGAACACTTTCATTCCTGACTTCCGGCTACACCGGTCCTGAGATCGTTTGTACATAAAGGTGTTACGGACTGCAGCGTTTTCAGCCACTGAATATCCGTGTCATATCAACCTTTATTATATCTGTTCTCAAGATTTACCATGTGCTTCCTCCATAACTTTCACTCTCTTTTTTCTTGTCTATAGTTTGGTCTTTTAGTGAGACCCTGTTGTACCCAACGTATCTTGGACATTATTTTTAACCATCATTCAACTATCTTCATTTGTTCAATGAATTAGGTAGAAATAACTTCTGACTGGAAAAAAAGTAGCGTTCACTTGTACTTAGAGAGATAAAACGATTGAATCTTACAATAACTGCTTGATCTCTTTGCTTTGTACAGTTTTGCAGCTAATGGAAGTAGTTGTAGATAAATACCTGCGAGGTCATGGACATAAGGACTTTAACTGAGACCGATATAGGTTTTCATAGGTAGTTGACATGAACATCAACTTACTGACCTTTTGCAGTAGCTACAACATAACACGAGAATAGCAACCCTCTTGTTTTTTCTCGACTGAAGTCTCGGTTTATATTTCCACCCGAACTTGATGAAAGGAGACTAGGTGGTACTCCTTGATCACTGCAGTCACCAATAACTAATGTTTTAACATTCCACATTTTTAAGTAGCCGAGACAAGAATTTGGCCCCTCTCTGATCGGACTGGAGAACTTTGAGTGAGTCAATTTTACTAAGCGAAAACAGGGTAAGTAAAAAATGCGGTGTTTTAAGTGTATTAACGATGTGTAGGTTCTATACTTTTAAAGTCTATATAAGTGACCTAACGAAATGTGTAGTTTAGTATTTTACGCCTATCATCAGGTTCATGAAAAGATATTTGATAATATAAGTCGCGCAAATCACGAAAGGATACGATAAAATAATTACATATATATATATATATTTTTGTACAGTATATATATACGGTATAATGTTATAATATTATACTGTATAACAGCCCCTGATAGTTTATTGTTCATGATCAGGTTACAACCATTTTGGAATATTTCAAACGTTTCGATCATTTTACGAGCCCTTCTTATCTCTTTCACCCCATTTTAAGATGTAGGAAACTCTTTTAGTTTTCCTTATTTATTCACGTACATCGTTGATTTTTGCAATTCGTATCAATCATTTTAACTTTAAGAAATGGCACGTTTGAGGATTGGTCATGTTGAACGCAACTCAACAGAAAATTATGAAGGGTCGTTAAGCAACGCAATCTCCCAATCTTGGGGAAAACTTAATCCATTTTGTGGAAATTTTGGGTGAGCCGCTACCATTTCTTCAGAAATGGTAGTCAGGGTAATAATCTCCAGTAAGGCTTAGTGCACCTGTTTGGCAGTACTTTGTTAGATGTTGGTGAATTTTAAGCAATTTATTTATCAATCGCCATGTTTTATGAGAACAAAACCTACTTATTTGATGGTTTTGCTTCAGTAATCACTGCAAACGTACACTCCTTCCGATACAGAAACTGGCCTGAAAATATTTAATCTTAAGGTGGCATCTCAAAGAACACATCCGGTTTTTAAGCCAAACTAGGCTGTTTTTCATGAGACTTGAGTATGAATTGCTACTTTTAACACAAAACTGCATGTGAAGATACGTCTGTAATTTAAACGAACAATTAATGACGAGTGAGTTATCGACAACAGTGATTTCACATTTGTTTCCACGATATTTTTTTGTACCAGCGTATATATTTTTTCTCCCCCAAATCACCAAGGTTCATGTTTATCAAGTGATGCTAGTCACTTTTTTCTGCAAATACATTATCTACTTTTTAGGCCTTACAATGCTACCTAGTTTCACGCATGAAGCTGCCCAAAAAATGTTTGCGCATGACAAATCATTTTACATTTTTTATTGTATCTGTACTAGTTCATAATTTTGTAGCGATAAACAAATCCCCAAAATAAGTAACTCTGTAAGTCTCCAACATATGAAACTGATTGTATTAGTTTTACTAGACTCACTTAGCTGAATGAGCTCGGTCACGCTTCCGCACCAGGTCACGAGTGAGTACGCCATGCTACGCATCCTTTCCTACCAATAGCCAGCTTAGACCGACCGTTTCTCAATATAGCGACAACCTTCCAAATATGTCTTTGAACTCCTTAATTTTGGGATTTTGATTCGATTGGGTATAATGTTTTGAATTATTTGAATTGTAGTATGAACTAAGAGTCCCAGAATTAACGCAATTGTATTAAGAAGTAAGACACAAACACAAGCGAATGTATTGCATTTAGAATTCGAAATCGAGCATTCAACAAGTACAGGGGTATTATTAGTTCGTTCAAACACCACATCCGCCACAGCTTAAGTAGAAGTATAAGTGTTTGTAATCGGTTGTACGTCTTCTTGTTAAGTTCATCCTGAGGCTGTCCGACATTGTATAAGATAAAAACTTTGTAGTATCTAGAAAGTGCTCATTAGTATTGGAATTAACAAACGAAATCGGAACAGACTCACCTGGAATTGTATACAATCAGCATGTCGGTTTTGTACTGAAATCATTAATATCTAGAATTTGAACCACAGATTTTTCAACACTATCCTCTCCCACGAAATAATGTTGGATCTTTATATCCCCAAGTTATGAATAATGTGGCTTCATTTAAAACATATTTCTCACAATGTTCAGAGTAAACATTAGAACTGTTTTTGTGATAAGGGTAAACAGCAATTGATATGAAATCATCCGAAATGTAATCAAACTCGAGGTCACTTAATACTCGTGCTTCGCATTGAGCAGGTTTTTCACAAGGATCAAATGCATTATGAGGAGATGTAATATATGATATGACATCAGGATTTGATTCTTCTGAAATATTCTCATGAAATTCATTAGGACTGTCATTGCAGAGCGTGGGATCGTTAGAAAAATCAGCATCTATCCAAACCACATCAGGTTTCCGATCATGATTAGGTTCATTTAACATATTTTCCTCAATATTGCAATTAATTTCGTTAGAAATATGTGAATCATTAGGAAAAGTCATACCTGGTACAATAGCATGAGAATTCTGATAAATCGGTTGATAAGGAACTGTTGTCTCACAAGAATTCTGGATTTCATCTAACTCTGAACTGCCATATGACTCTGCACTGTCTTTTGAAATCGTTGATAAAGATAAATGATCATTAGAAACATCCGAATTATTGAAACTTAAATTACAAGATTTAGTACAGCTCGAAGCAAAATGGACAGTAGCTTTGCATACTGACTGAATGTGTCCTACCTTACCACATTTAAAACATTTAGCATTACAAAATACACATGAATTGCGAGCATGAAACTTTCCACATGATAAACATTTACCAAACTTCATCTCACCTTTGTGATTTGGTTTGTAATTCCTCGTTGAAACACCTCTCATATTTACACGAGAATAGGAATCACTGTTAAATGAACGCAAGTTTGATTGACCCTGAGATTGTAGTTCATCATGACGACTAAGCAAAGTATTAGAAATCTTCATCGACTGGATATCAAGTTCATTGACTGCTTCGTAGTTAATACACGCAGTTCTAGCATCTTGAAAGGAACAGTTTGGCATTTTTAACAGCTCTCTTTTCAAACTCGGTGTGTTAATTCCTGCAATTAATCAACCTCTCAGTTGCACATGAAGTTGATCACCGAAATTACACTTGGCAGCTTGTTTCTGTAATTCAAGGATGAATTTCCGAGCCTTTTGGTCATTTTGACGAACCATCTTATGAAACTTTGCCCTTTCACGGCATTCAAAACTGGCGCATTTTACATGACTTAATAATAGCTCTTTAAGAGTTGCATAAGGGAGTGAGATAGGTTTTTCTGGATATGCCAAAGTTTTTAATAAGCTGTACGCTTCTCTCCCAATGAATGTGAGGAAGTGTGCCACAATATTAAAATCCTCATCATCTTTCTTGGTCATAGCCCAGATTTCGAACCTTTCAAAGTAATCTTCAAAAGCTTCCGAAGTTGAATGAATATCTAACTTTTCCATTACAGGCTCCATCGCGATGCTAATATAATGTTTTGAATTATTTGAATCGTAGTATGAACTAAGAGTCCCAGAATTAACGCAATTGTATTAAGAAGTAAGACACAAGCACAAGCGAATGTATTGTATTTAGAATTCGAAATCGAGCATTCAACAAGTACAAGGGTATTATTAGTTCGTTCAAACACCACTCTGGGTTAGTATACTTTGATTATAATTGTGTGACTGGTAAAACCGTTGTCAAACTCCGACTACTTGTGGCATCTTTTACTTAATAGATTGGTCTCTGTCTTTTATTGACCGAACTCACTCTTTTACCACGGTAATTGAATAAATCGAATCCTAGTGGTTTTAAAAACTTTCACTCAACAACATTATTCACCTCTTGATCTTATTTTACAGTTGATAAGTAATATCATCCCAACTGATTAATTTTAGTCTCTGATGGCTCATACCGATAGTCTTGATACTTATGATTGATAACTCTTTGAATAAAAACAGGAATGTAAAAAATTGCTTGAAACGTTTTTGACCTGCGTAATTATATTCAAACGTCTTGTTAATCTGTTCGATTGTCTCTCCAACCACCTTCTAAAAAGTTAGTTACGAAACTATCAAGATAACTTTGGGCTTTATCTCTGTGCTTAAAACATCAACTCCCTAAATCTGAATAAACAACAAAATACAAGCAATAACATTACACTAGTGTTTGGCATAATTTGAAGGGATAGGTTTCAGTTGTCGATATACGGAAAGTCAACTTAACACACTCAACGGGTGTCATGCCATTCGGGATTCAACACATCCTTCTAAACTTTTAGTCACATTTTACAATAAAATTTACCAATAGGCTCACATTTTAATCCTGGGTATTTAACGTCTCATGACGGTCAAAACAAGATTTTACATTGTTTTATAACGTTTTTGGTTAAATGTTAGTCCAGAAATTGGTATTGGGGTAGTTAAATGCTTTAAACACCTGACTTAACTGAAGATTTCATTGGTTTTGGTTATTCATCTCAGCCAACGTGCGTCACACGTAGCCCAGTGATATCTCGGCCTTGTAACAAGGGGTCGTTTACCTGGCATTACTTCACGGTTACGAAATATAGCTTATAAAGGTAAGTTGGTGCTTAGACTGCAAGTATTCAACTATAGATTTCGGAGTGCATCGCTCACATATGAAGCAACTACATAGTGGATAATGATGAGCTTTTGATGAAGTGGTAGATAAAAGAAACAATTCGATTTATGAGGCTGTAACCGACAACATATATAGCACATGCTTACTCACCGCTTATTTGAGCGTGCACTGCTGGATTACATTAAAGTATATTGCGATAAAGCTGAAGTGAGTCAGATAATGACACGACATGAATCCATAAAATTATTAACTGTTGGTCTTTCATACCGGCGGGTGTAGACTTCCTTATTTGAAAGTCCTTTGAGCCAGTAGTTTGAGGCGCTGATGATATCTGCAGTAGCACTCATTCTTTCTCTTCCTTTAAATCCTGATTCAACCATTATGCCTACCTGCTATCACTATATTTCTTATGTAGTCCGAATCGATCCCGTTTCCATATTCTTGACTGACTTTCCTGCTGAGTTAAGTCGAGTTGTAACTACTTGAACTGATACACATTTACGCCAGGTTTTATAATGGTTGCAGCCGAGTAGCTTAATTTTATATAGCTCACACTTCTTTTAATCTAGAAAACCTCGTGAAATTTCTTCTTAGTTTTTCGCATCCAAGTTGATATATTCCACTAGAAATGAAATGGAACCAATGAAAAAAATTCTACACTCTTTTCATATTTTGACGTTTTTTTATTAATCGAATATGGCTGAAACCATCTGCTTGTGATTTTTCCTCGTTTATTTAGGAAACTAATGATACTCAATTAAGAACAATATACTCAAGATATAATTCTAATATCCGACCTACAGAACTATCATTAAGTTGTTCCTACGTTACAAGGACGGAAGTAACAACCAAACACTACCTTGTTTCAAGATACAAATGAATTGAAAAAGTGATTTTAGTTCATGCTCAAGAGTTTTTTTGTTTAATATAAAGACAATGAATTTCATTATTAAGTGTTACTTTGATGCAACAGACCAATAAACATGTTATTCAAAAGCTCAAAAGCCAGATCAAGAGACGATAATCAGCGAAATATTACTTCTGACAGAAGTATTGGAGATGAAGAACTAAGCTATTTGAAGGAACAATATTGGAGGAGGAAATATGGTACAAGGCATAGTTTTCGAATGAAATTATTTCTGTTTCTTTTGACCAGTTTCTCAGTTTTATTTACAATGTCTGTTATTGCAGTTACTATTTTTTTTATTTTGCTCTGCAAAAAACTTTATGAAATTTGAAAATTAACAGAAAGTGTTTTATTTATTATTCAGAATGCTTGATATATGATATTTATGTGTATTTACATCCTCATAAATACTTTCATGACTAACAGTGTAGTCTTGAAGTTGTCGAGGGTATTTCAATCACTATATTTATTACATGTAAAATATACACGCTTTATTTTTGATTAACCATGTTAACGAGTTTTTTATGAAATAATTCCATGATATATTGTTTGTTTAACAGTTTTTTCCGTAAATTGTCTTGGTTAGCAACTTAGAGGCATCACAATCACATTAGTAATAACGAGGCTTTATGAACTGTAAAAGGACGTCTTATTTTTACATAAATGATCAAATTTCATCCCGTTAGGCCTGCTAATCTTTTAAAAGAAAAACTCTACATGAAATGGAGTTTCCTAGTTACTTGATCCCTTAAATAACAAACTATTGGAAGAAAATAAGCAATAATAACATTAACTTTGGATGTGGTATCCTCTTTTTTGGGAGAGAAATATGTTCGTTTCTGGTTTCAGTGTATCAAACAACAATTATCATAGAGAAAGCGAATCTAGCTGATGACTTCTGAATAGAGTAAAAACAAACTATGAACTCTGTCACTAAAAACTGACATTTTAAATTACTAATAGATTTATTCAATAGTATATGTTTTATAGCTGATTATTCATACTACTTGGTATATTACAAAGGCATTCTTTAAAATTATGATCTGAAAAGAAAATGTCAATAAATAAATAATATATTTGTAATATCCCAATGACGTTTCGTGATTTATTGTAAGCCACTTCTTCAGAGAATAAAATGGAAAAATAAACAAATGAATTAAACTCATTCTTAACCATTTGCAGATTAGTTCATTTTCTCCTTGTAATTACTCAGCTTCATTTTGTTTATAATTAATTTAATGCTACTTTATCCAGTCTACATAATACATTTGACTTGATGGTTTTTTCCTTCAACAAAATATAAATAATATTTACACAATCTACATTGTGCAGATTGCAAACGAAATGAATTTCATAAATTGAATGAACAAATCAACGATAGAAATGAAACTTATTTATTTTTAACTTACACCTATTAGGAAAATATAAATGAAAATTATATATCTCAATGAGTAGTAAGAAATTAGATTTTCATGACGTTTCGTAACTCAGTATAAGCCAATTCTCTTCAGAGTATAAATAATTAAATCAAAATGAATCCAAATTAAAGTGAAATGAGAAACTTCATCCCCTTTTTTTTAAAAAACAAACAAACTATTTATTCATATTAATCAGTGAATAGTAACTATAGAAAAAAAAATTAAAATTTCACTGAAAATTACCAATTTTACAAATACTACTATAAAAAGTAAATAAGTTAGTAAGTAAGTAAGTAAGCGAAAAAAAAACAATATCGATTTGGATTGAAAATGATTTCAAATTAGCAACTAATTGTTACTAAGTGCTTTTTTTTTAAAAAATATCATACTATTTATAAAAAAATTTTATGTGAATTATTGTATATTTATAGAATTTTCTAATATTTTATGATTAGAATAAACAATTTTAATATTTATACAACTAAATGAGTAATAATACATAAATTAATTTAGTTAATAAATATTATTTCTTATTGTATAATCTAATTTCTGTTATGTGTATTATACCAAAAATATAATTTTTTTATCGTTTTTTTATGTATTATCTATAATACTATCATAGATTAAGTTATTATTATTATTATTATTATTATTATTATTATTATTATTATTAGAAGGGGTTTTGTGGAGATTTTAGTAATTTCAATAGTTGGAATCGTGAGTCAATTGAAACTAGACCACCATGGAAAACCTGCATGCACTGGATGACTGTTTCGTCCTAGTATGGGACTCTTCAGCAGTACGCATCCACGATTTCGCCCCCAAGAGGTTCGAATCCGGAACCTATCAGTCTAGCATGCGAGCGCTTAACCATTCGACCACTGAGACGGTATCCAACGGTGTTAATGTCTAACTTCAACCAATCCACGAAATTGCACCACCGTACACCATTGTCTTCAGTAAACTGATATCTCATGACCGACATGGTTGAACTCCATTGGTAACAGCTTCTCACTAGAACTCCAGGAAATCACCTCCTGAAGTCAGTCATTAGTGAGAAGATGATTATTATCAGAAGGAGTTTTGTGGAAATTTTAATAATTCCAGTAGTTGGAATCGTGAGTCAATTGGAGCTAGACCACCATGGAAAACCTGGATGCACATTGTTGAGGAGTCCCATACTGAGACGAAACGGTCATCCAGTGCTTCCAGGTTTTCCATAGTTGTCTAGCTTCAAGTGACTCACTATTTCAATTATTGAAATTATTGTTGTGTTATTAAAATAGACTTTAACTAGTTTACTTATTTGATATTCTTGGTTTTTGTTTGTTTGTCTTGTTTTGTTTATTTTTTATGTGGATTGAATTATGGTTCTTCAAACAAATCATTTTAATTTTTATATATGCGCTGAATGAATTCAAAATATAAACAAACTTTTTTTGTTAAATGGTATAATGTACTTGAATAAGCTTAAAAATTCTGATTATTTTTTTTCGCTCAAGATTTAGTCGACTGTTCATCATCTCATTTTTGTTAAAATGAAATGGTAATTCTATTTACAAAAAGTAATGAGACTATAATTTATGGACGTCCTTTGAGCGACGCTAGATTGATCTTGGGAGTGTTCACCTAATAACGAGGATCAAATGAGGATTCTAAACCTGTTTGAGGAATTAGGATTATGATTTACAGTTGACGGTTATGGTTAGGAATTAGATTTAGGGTTTTCATCACGAACTGACACTAGCTATAATGCAAAGACTCTATTTAGCCAAATGGGTCAATAAACTTGGCGCCAAAATCCAAAACCTGTTATCGTAAATTTTATTGGTTCATCCATAAACTATAGTCTATCCAAGAACGTCAACGACTAAAATAATTTAATTCGACTCATCATACTAAATCATAATACGAATTGGTGCTATACTTTAATTCGTACCTTGAGATACCCGTTTTTACTTAATCT